AATTCTTTGTATTTTTATGGGCCTTTTAGCATTATCTCCCATGTTGTTTTATGGTGCTGATTTTGTCTGCTAATCTCAGGTGTGGCTTATTTCAGTTTTTGGGTTTTTTTGTTCTTATTTGGGGTAAAAACATTTGAAAGAGTTCTTGCAGTTGCGTATTTTAGGATATGTACACAGGATCAAAAGAGATCAAATTAAAATATCTTAAGTTATTGTTGCTTAGCTGACCATGTGCCTGTGTTTACCTTATTCAGATATGAAATTATATCTGGTTTAGTACATTCAGTTACTGTATCTTATCTAAGGAATGGTAAATTAAATATATTTATTCAGGGTTTTTTATTATTATTAAGATTTAAGCTCGGTCACTTGCAGTTGAAAAATTTTTCAAAGAATTAATCAGAAACTTACTACCACTGTGTTCTGAACTCTTCAGCTGATTTAGAAGTACTGAAAAACAGTTTTTCAAAAGACTTAAAGTTTTTGTATCCATCAATGAAAAAGGTAGCAGTTTTCACAACTACCCTTTCCTCCAGACTTCTGACTCTTTTACAATCAAATACTTAAATAATTATGTTCAAAAGAAAAATCACTTGTTTTGCACTACCTCTTAATTTTGAAACCAGGTCTAAAAAAAGGTATTGCTTTTATTTCAGCCTCTCTATGCTGAAATATATTGCAGAAATGCCTGTGCTTATTACTGCTGCTCACATTCAGTATAAAACAAAACTGTCCAGTTTTATTTCATTTTATTTTATTCTCTGCATGCTCCCAGCCTCCATGATGTGGTAGTTTCATGTAATAAGAGAAAATGGAGGGATTATAAGCAACTGATAAAAGTAAATTATTTTCTCTATTAAGTAAAGGATATATGAGATGTAATGAGTGTTAAGAATAAACAGGAGAAGTAAAAACTCAGAATGTGAATTGTGAAATTTTTTACTTTAAAATATGATGAGAATAGGCATATGTAATGGAAATGTATGCATTTCCTTCAGTCTCATTTTTTTAAATACATTTTTTAATAAATTGTTTAAACATACTTTTTTTATTTTTTTATTGTTTTTCAGGAAAGTCAGTTTGTGAATAGTATCTATCAATTAGCCATTTTTCCCTCCCAGTAAATGTCTGTGAACGTAATTTTTTTTTTCTTTTCAGCTGCCGTAAATAAGATTTCCAAAAAAATAGATATGGATGTATATAGGAAGAGAATGGAGATCATGCTTCAGTAAGTTGATGTGTATTTTTCTAAAGGAAAATGAGCAATGTTAACCATATAAATAGAATAGCCTTAGTATAAAAGGGTTTAAAGATAGTTACGTAAAAATACTTCATGCAAATTTACTTCAGTCTAATTTCTGTGAAGGCCAGGAATTAAGTAAAGAAAGAAAGATACAGTAAAAAGTTCTCAACACCATTAAAATTTTGAATACAGGGCCCAGTTATGTCTTCCAGAAGCAGGTTTTTAAGTTTCCTCCAAAAGTTATGCTACAAATGGTTAATGAAAACAGCTTTGGATCACATCTCTTTTAAAACTTACTCTGAGTGTATTCTTTTATTTATGTAGAAATCTTGCCTCTTTCGAAACCAAAGGAAACCTTCCCTTTGTTTATGATGAGATTATTTTGGTAAAATTCTTACTGTTATTTGATACCCACTGTCATAATAAAGATTGATCTTCTTAATTACATCAGAGTGAGTTAAATAATCGTTGCTGAAAGGTGATACTCACCTGCCAAAGTGACCCCAGGGTTAATAGATAAACCTAAGTTTGCTGTTTGACCACACCTTACACTCCTGGGTGTTTGCTTTAGGGATATGTTTGGAGAGGACTGTGTGAGTTCCAAAGATGACTCTGTGCTGTGCATCACAGTGGATGGAAAGACTGCCAACATTTCCCTGGACACTCGGGTATGTAAAGCAAAGCAAAGCACTTCTGTGTGTGCTGTGTTCAGCAGTCTCCTGCTGGCACACAGTGCTGCCTACACTGCCGTGTACTCACTTGCTAAGGAAATGTACTCGTATCAAAACAGAGCATTCTTAACTAAAAAATGCTAGCCATGTTTATGCAACAAATGCAGTATATTTGGGAAAAAAAACTAGTATTTTTCACCAGCTCAGTTGTATGAAAAAAATTTAAAAAGATTGTAGAAGAGAAATTGAGTTAACCCACAATTTTTTAAAAATGCTTTTAAAGCATGGCTCTGGTCTGAATAATTGAACAGCTACAGGGTAGGAATGTTGTTTGTTTTTTGGTTGTTTTTTTGCCATCTTGATCCTTTTGGAGCTAAATTGAAAGCCTGAAATACAAAAAGAAATACTTTATTAATTTACTAGCTTACAGAATTGGATGTCATGCATGTTAGAAGGGTGCTTTAAGAAGCCATCACACCTAGTAATTTGAATAATTTAAAACTGTTAAGAATGATTAAAACCATGTCCTTCATGTTCTTAAGCATTTTAACACACTGACTTTGTCATTACTAATAACATATTAAACATAGCTTGTGTATTGCCTCTATTCATAGCAGTAATATAATGAAAATTCATTCTATGGAGCACCTCTCATATGCTCTCCTTAAGGGGTCACAACAAATGTTTTAAGTGTTCTACAAACACAGAAGAAACCCTGCCAAAAATTTGTTACCTATTGAAACAAAACAAGTGAATGTTAATTATCTTAAGAAAATAGTGAGTTACAGTGGTTAACACACAACTTGTGCCATCTCTTTTCAATTCTTTAATAAAAAATCCTACATTTCAGTTTGTACATAGTGCAGAAAAATACAGGACTGGTGAAAGAACTCTTGAAATAAAGAAAAAAGTAACTAGACTGGAAAAGGATGCAACTGCTTAATCAAGGAGTTTGATTTCTTTTTTGTAATACATCATTATTGTTAAAAGATTTGTGTACTGACAGAAAGCCCAGTTCAGTTACAGCAGGGTGTATCTTTGCAGTACTTGCTGTGCAGTCTGTGTTGGCAATGGCAAGCTTGTGCCATTGTGAACCAGATTTTACAAGGCAGACCTGTCTTTCTTCACGTGTGTATGTATCTTATAAAACTTTATTTGCTTTAAAATAAAAAGCTGTTTAGTGTAGATCTGACTGGTGGGACACATGGATTTATTTTCCGTGTTAACACAGTGCTCTCGCAGTTAACATGATTTCAATAACATTGCTAGATAACATTAAATGCATGTTTGCTGTTTTAAGTGCCTTTTTTCTTCCCCCAAACCTTTATGGTTGGAAAAATCACAAGAGTAACAAGTTAATACTGAATTAAAGGAGGTGTAGTCCTAGAGTCTAGAAAGGCCACAGGACCAAGAACAGTATTACTACTCAAATGCTGTCCTCTGTTTCTGAGGTAGAGCAGTTGGGATTGTAGATCAACTTTCATGTTTGGGGTGGGCATCTTTTTCTAGGAAAATTTGTTTTAGTAAAAAATTAATTTACTTGGATTATTTTTGTGTAAATGTCATCATGTGTGTGGGAACATCTGTGTGGTGCCTGTACCTCTAGTGACTACATGTGTTTTGCATTGTTACCCTAATACAGTGTGAGTGAATTCACAGATAAAACAAAATCTCCAGGAATTGAATCTTGTGTGATTTTATTTGATTTCTAATCCAATGTAATCCACAAAATTTAGTGCATTTTACATAGCAGTTTTGAGCATAAGACTCGCTTAAGTCTTCTCTGAACTCCTCTACATGGTGGCTGCTGCTCTTGATAATTTCATGGCTGCTTTTTGTTTCCCCTTGGGAGCATTGTGTGGATGCTGACAGGGAGCATGAAGTGCCCACTGTTGTAACATCCTTCTCTTTCTGTTCCCAGACAGTTGACTGTGAGCCAGGGAGTGAAGATGACGAATCCCTTCGTGAAATGGTGGAACTGGCAGCACAGAGGCTTTATGATGCCCTCAGCCCTGTATACTGACCGCTGTAGATACTTAGGTTGCTTAAAAAAATCTTTTAAATTTTCAGTTTATTTGAGCTGGTTTTTTACAAGTAAATAGATTTTTTTCTTGAATAAGTCAAAGGTTTCAATTCTTTGAATGTGAAAGTGTTGAGTTATTTCACATAGTGGATCAGCAACCTCATAACAACTGTATTTGTGCATATAGATGCAATTAAATCAGGCAGAGTGAGCATATGTTCTCTTACGTGCACAAAAAAGAAATAATTCTCAACCTGATACAGAATTACAAAGATTAAATGGAGTTTTGTATTTTTGAATATTAAAACTGGTTGGAGGAGAAATTGTATGTATTGAATTTGCATATATAGTTTTGTTCCTGTTGAGGAAGTGGTGGCCTGCATGCTTGTATCTACTTGAACTCAAAAGAGTCTTGAACACAACTGAAAATGGAATCCATGTTTGTATGGTGGGATTAGTTGGAGCTTTAAAACTCCACCACCTGCAAGAGAAGGGAGCACTTATGATCTGTCACAGCCTTGGTGCCCCAAGTCGGTGACCACCCCAGCCTCGTAGAAGGGACACAGGGTATCAGACACTGCAGGACACAGAGCAGAATTCCAAATACAGCATGGTTGATGCCCTGAGGTAGCTGCAGTTGTTGTCAAACCATGAGCTTCATAGTAATAGTAGTGTTAGACGATTAGCAAAATTAACGGCACTTTCCTCTTCAAATTGTGTCGTTAGTAGGCTAAACAGTATGAAGCCAATTAAATGAGGTCATTGTATTTTCTTAAGAAGGAAGTCTCTCTTTGAAACAGATAAAGACCATGAAATTGGGCGCGTTCTGTCGGGAGCGCTTCCAGCCAGCACGAGGGGTGTGTGAGGGGTGGGTCCGCGGCTGCCCCGGGCGCGCCCTCCCCGCGTCCCTGCGCCACTGAGCCTTTTAAAGGGGCGATAAAAGATTGAGTGGGCCTGGAACCTGAACCCGGTTTGTAACCGGGGCCTTCCACCGATCCACCCCGTTTGCCGCTGCAGAGGAAGCGGCGAGGCCGCCGCTGCCGGCGGATGTCCGGCCGCGGCCATGGCGCTGGCAGAGGCGGGAGCCCGCGGGCGGCTCCTGCGCTGGCCCCGCGTCCTGCTCTTCGGAGACTCCATCACTGAGGTAGTGCTCGCCCGCCTGGCCTGGCCCCGCAGTTCCCGTGTGGAGCTCCCAGGCCAGCCCGGCTCCCCGCACCGAGGCCGGCGGCCCAGCAGCCTGCTGGCGTTGGTCTGAGCTGCGGTGCCCAGCGGCGGGAAGGGGACGGTCCGGCTGCCCAGCCGGGAGCGCGCTCGGGGCCCCGGTTACAATCCCGGACCCGCCGGGGCCTTCGCGCCTGGGGGCGAATGTGAGATTCGGGGCCGTCCCACAGAGGCGCGAAGGTGAAGGTGTAGCTGGGATGTTGCGGTGTTAGCGGCATTTTCCATGCGGGAGGCCCAGCGTGCTGCCCCTGCTGCCTGCAGGGACCTGTACCTGCCCTCCCGGCTCCTGGGGCATCCCTGCTCCCCGTGTCTAGCTCCCTGCTCCCCGTGTCTAGCTCGCCCAGGCCGGACACAGCTCCTCATTGAGGTGACTGCACCTGGTGAACATGTCTGAGGCAGCCGCAGCTTCTTGGCGTTGATTTTGGGTCCCTGCCTTCTGTTGCATGGGTTGTGTGGTGGGTCACGGAGCTGATCTGATGAAAAAGTAACCAGAGACCAGCTTTGTCTTTAATGGGAGATGGGTGTCTAAGCCTACTCGCTGCAGAATTGTAGCAGAGAGGATGGTGCAGCAGTGGGAATAAGGAGAAGGAATTAGTTTTTCTGTTTCTGGAAGTGGTAGGTATTAAACTGAACTCCATGAAGAGGAAGGAGTTTTGAGAGATGGTCTTCAGAATGATTAGAAATAAAATAGAAAAATATTCTGAACACAGCAAACCCTCACTGTCCAAAATGAAGCTACAGTCCAACAGCAGTCAGTTTGGGTTTTGAAGGGACCGCAGGGTCCATCCCTCCAGAGTCACCAGCCCTGTGTTGCCTCAGAGGCCAGCAGTGTGCCTGGGTAGAACCAGGAGTGTTTGACCTCAGAGGGACAGGGCAGGCAGGGAGGAAATGCACCAGCAGCAGTGCCAGAGGCCAGGCACAAAAGCTTTGCAGGTGGGAAGGTGCCAGTGGTGGGGCTAAGCTCTGGGGAACAAGTTCTTCCAGTGAGGATCTAACCATTTTCCTTATTTTCAGTACTCCTTCCAGGAAAATGGCTGGGGGGCATACCTTGCTGAGAGACTGGTCAGGTAAGGGCTTAAATTTCAGAAGTAAGTTCTAGCTTGCAGAAAGTCATGGAGCTTTTCTAAATGAAAACCAGACCAACAGTGGTTAATACTGAATACATGTTTATTTATTGATGTTTATTTATTTAGTGAAGTGGAACTATCTTCTGGGCAGCATGCCCAGAACTGGTGAAAATATTCATTGGGTGTTTCCACTCAAAGCTTGAGTGGAAATTAAAAATCCCTTAGTGGTTGTCAAGATTGTTGTCCTGGTTCCATGGTGTAACAGGTAAACAGTACATGTGCAGCCTGTGTGTGCACTTTCAAAGCATGATCACATTGAAAACTCACATGACATCTCATTTTTCCTGAGAGGGATGGAAGCAGGTGGCCTGATAGAATGGTTCAAACCTTCCAAACTTTTTGTTTTGGTGGACAGAGAAGAGATGTTCTTTTTGATACATGTCTCTGTTTCAGAAAATGTGATGTTGTGAACCGTGGGATCTCGGGGTACAACACCAGATGGGCTAAGTTGATTCTTCCTAGACTGATCACTGAAAATACTGGTGCTGACAGTATTGCTGCAGTTACTATTTTCTTTGGAGCTAATGACAGTGCTTTGAAAGGTAGAGTAGCTTGCTTTCTGTCTTTTTTTTTTCCTGTGACCTATTCTCTTAAAACAGTTTTATTTAGCAGAATAGGCAGAACATTTCAGAGTAGACTTTTCCTGCTACTTCTCTAGGAACTGATTACTCTCTTTCTATTTATACAGAGGTTTGTTTCCTGTCATTTCATTTGTATTTAAACCATGCAATGCCTTCCATTTCCCTCCCTATCACCAAGTTTTAATACTAGAAAAATAAATTTCAGGGTGCTCAAGAATTAGTTGCCTAAAATTGGAGTTGGGCATCCAGTTGTTTCTTCTGTCTTTAAAGGAGACTGATGAGTTCTCAGCAGATGGGCTGAGGAATTGAGGAAAGGTAGCATTTGGATTCTCTTTCAGATGATCATAGCAGGATGCAGAGTCTAATCAAAATGATACCATCAATGCATGAAGGACTGACTGTATGTCCATGGGACTTTCCAGAATTTTCTCTGCATCCAAGAATATTGGAAATCTCAGGTTTAGGTTCAGGCAAGGTTTGAGGTGATTATATTTTCTGATACTAAGATACAAAGTTGTGAAAAAAGCATCTTAAAAAACCCCAACTGTTGGGGTTTTTTTCCCTGTGCATTATTTGCCTGTTGGAAATGCTGTCTTTAAATTCTTGATTTGCCTGCTTTGGGTATCGAGGAACAGAATTCTCCTACCACATCTCCCAGATCCGTGACTGAGGGGAACTGCATGCTGGATCTGAGTGTCCATGGCCATGCTGTGTAAAAGTGCTGTAATGCTGTGCAGGAAGCCTGCAGGGAGCTCAGCCCCACTGATGCCTGTGCTCCCCCCCTGACAGAGCTGAACCCCAAGCAGCACGTTCCTCTGGAGGAGTACGCTGCCAACCTGAAGAGCATGGTGCAGTACCTGAAGTCAGTAGACATTACTGCAGACAAGATTATTTTGATTACACCCCCACCTCTTCAGGAATCAGCTTGGGAAAAGGCATGTCTTGCCAAAGGTGAGTGATGAGGATGGGTGGAATTTCTGCATTTTACCAGTGGAGTGTAAGTGACAGATCCCAGGTTGTCAGGTGGTTTCCTTCCTGTGTGTGCCATATTGCAGTCATGTTTATGATTTGTTGGAAAAGAGCTGCTGTTTTACTAAACAACTTCTGGATAAGCTCATGGAGTAACTACCAAGTAATTACAAACATCTTTTCCAAAGTGTTGATTGATGTGTTAATGCATAGAAATGATAGAAGTGGCTGCCCTCTAGGAACATGGGGTTTGTCAGCATGTCCTAGGCAGATTCCATCGTGTCCCAGCAGCTTCCAGAATAATACAAATAATGGAAGAAATGTTGGCATTGTGGGCCTTAGAAAAGTTTTTACTAGGTACAGCAGATTTCACATCTGTTTGGATAAGCAGTAATATTCCAGCCAGGTTTATTTTAAGGTTAAAAAAAACAATACCAGAGAATATCATATTCTAAGGATGCTAATAAAAGTGCCTGAAAAAGAAGAAAGAGGTAGTTAAATTATTTCCCATTATGTTATTGAAGCTAATTCTAAAGTTAGAGACATAATAGCACCACTTATTCGTGTTACTGAGCTGGTGGAAATTGCCATAATCCCATAGACTCCAGCAGTGACAGATTTTACTTCCTGAGAGCATGTGCTTTTTTCTGTTGGGGACACCTTTTCCAGTTCTTGCACGTTTATAAAACTTCTGAGTTAGGTCAGGTACAAATACATAGTACATAGATATACTGAGCTGGTACTGTTTGTGGCACAGTTTTCTATGATTTAGGTGGTGTTGCATATCCTGAGTCATGTTTTCAATCAAAGTAGTAAAACTTTGAAGATGACCGTAAGTTTAGACTGCATTAAATTAGACAACATTATTGTATGATTTTGCATTAGGAGGCTTTGATGTGATGTCATGTGAGCACACCTCAAATGCTGCTTGTCTGGCTCCCAGCTGTCAAGGAGCACTTGTAATGTTAACCCATTTTCCTCTTAAAACTGTCCTTTTTATGGAGTAGGGATGGAGGAAACTTGAATTTACAGCATTGAATCTGCCAGCTTGTGTCTAAAAGAGAGTACTGTCTGGGGATGGAACAAAAGGCAGGGTGATCTCAGACCATGGACCACAAATGAAGTGTTGTGGGCACAATAAGCAGCAATATCAGACCATCTGCCCTCCAGAATCAAGGAGAAGTTTTCTGCCTATTTCTAGTTTTGTCAGGTATCAGAACAAAGGAGAGATGGGAAGCTGGAGGATGATGATGTTCACAGGAGCATTCATCCAGGTGTGAAAAGTAGCAAGAGGGCTACTGCAAGGAGCAGTTTCATGTGGACTTGTTAGTGTTCAGAAACACATAATCACATAAGCAATTATATGCAGGTGCTTTTCTTCTGAGCTCTGGGTGTCAGGAGTATTCAACTCAAATCTGACTCCGACCATACATTCGAGATGATCCTGTTTTTATATTCTATCGTTATATAACTTTCATGGTAATTATTAAACTTATGTTGTTCTATTGTATACATAGATTTCAGCTAAACATAGCCCCCTTAAATTTCCAACATAGTTTCTCATGATTCTTCTTATGATTATATAATAATTATATTTAAGTACTAAACAATCATCACATCTAACAATTATATCATTTATCATACTGCTTACGCAGGTGCAGTGATCTGAGAAAACACAAAGCCTAACATTTTCAGAGTTCTATCTTTAACATTTTCCAAGGCTCCACTATCAGACTTGGACAAAAAGCAGAAGGCAACTTGTAAATAGATTTCCATTTACTTAACTCTGTTTTACCTGCTCTAGCAGGTGTAAAAAGAGTTTAAATCTAAGCACTACTTTCACCTGAAGCTCGACAGGAGGTGAGAGCTGTGAGCAGCAGAATTATACTGTCTGCTGTTGCTTCTCTCTCAAGCTGATGCATTTCTTCAAAAGAGACATTTTCAAGTGACTCAGAACCAAAGGGTGCCCTGAGAAAGACCACACAGGCTGTAGCTTCCAGCCACTTACATTGCTGTGGATTTAGTTTGTGATTGGTTATGGCTACTGGTTTGACACCTGATGCAGATGCCACAGAAGACTGAAATGGTGCTGCATCAGTGGTGGGTGCTGGATGTTGTCCTTGTTTGTGCCTGGCAGGTGACAAACTGAACCGCTGCAATGCCACCACAGGGCAGTACGCCCAGGCCTGTGTCCAGGTGGCCAAGGAGTGCGGCACGGACGTGCTCGACCTCTGGAGCCTGATGCAGAAGAACCAGGTACGATGAAATCAGAAATGCCTGAAACTGACACAAATTGGGAAATGCATCACTTAGCGTAGAGGAACCGGTGGTGCTGCATTATCACTGAAATGCTGCAAAATGCATCAAAATTACACTTTAGGGAAGGGAGAAAATAATCCAGAGTGCTTCATAGTTGGCAATGAGAAATAAAGCTGTATGCAACCTGGCCATGGTGCTTGGTTAGCACATATCCCAAGTACATCATATCTAAATAGCCTTTTTCTTGAACTTGAGCCATGGAATAGTTTAGGTTGGAAGTGGCCTCTGGAGGTTTCTTGTCCAACCCACTGTGCAGTGTGGGGCTAATTTCAAGGTCAGATCTGGCTGCACAGAGGTGTTGTTGATGCTTCTGACCAAATAGCCAAACTCATCCATGGGAGACTGCAGACTTTTGCTGTGAGCAGGTAACTCTAGTTTGGACCCTGAACATTTTCTCTTCTCTGCTCTCCCCAATGCAGTAGACTGCTGACTTTTGATTGCATCACTTAATCCTATGATCTTTTACTAATAAATAGCAGCAATTTTGGCCATCAGAACATTCTCTTAACATTTTAACAAAAACAGTGAAAAATAAAACCGGTTTACCAGCTGGCTTTGAAGAATTACTAAAGGCACTTTGCAGCCAGCAAATCCACTAACACCTGGTTTTAACCTCACTTGTAGGATTTCTCTTCCTATTTGTCTGATGGTCTTCATTTATCAGCGAAAGGCAACAGCTTTGTAGCAGCTCAGCTTTGGTCACGCCTGGAACACAAACTGTCTGCCCTTCCTTCTCTGCTTCCTTACTGGCGTGACGTGGACCACACGAACCCCGAGGCCAGTCTGCTGTGACAGCCCTGCAGGGAGGAGCCAGGGCAGCCGCACCAGGCAGAGCCAGCTCATTGTGCAGCAACGTGCTGCAAACTGTCCTCGGGGAGCACGGCATGGGGAGTCCCAGCAATGCTCTTCTCTGTCCCCTTCTCTTGGTCTGTGGGAGAATAAAGGTGAGACCACTTGGGTGTGTCCTGAGGTGGTTTTTCTTCATGCTGCTGTTGCCAGGATAGCTGTGGGGATGTGTAGCTCTTTCCTTGGAGGACTCAGAGGAAAATGAGTCTCAGCTGTTCTGTGGCCAAGGGATAGAGGCTGCCCTGAGCAGTTCCTGGCCTTGCTGAGCTTTGGGGACTGCTCTATGATTAATACCATCTACTTGCTTTGAACACAGAGGAGCTTGTAAGAGGCAGTAGGGTGGAGTTTGCCGAGAGCAGTTAGTGTCAGTCCAAATTCATTTATTTGGATGTTTTACAGCAGGAGCAGCAGTTCCCTAAGTTTTACTGTGGCTTTGGTATTGATAGAGAGTAGTTTAGAGCAGGGCTTTTAAAATTTAACTTACTCTGGCACCAGCAGCAGCTTCTTTATACCCAGCTCTTCTGTATAGGTCCCAGTTTCAGACCAGTGCATGTTTTTGGGCAGTATAAAACTGGTGAAATATGACCTTGGAGAAACTACTAGAAAAGGTCTGCATCTCTGCTGACAAAGCTGCATCCTATGTCATTTGCCATCAAGTTAAGAAGACCTTTTAAGTAAGTTGTTAAAATAATTTTACAACTCATCTAATACATAAGTACTGCAGACTATGCAGGTTTTGGCCAAGAGTACACAAACTACAAAACTGCCTTTACAAACAAAAAAAACCAAAAACATTGTCTGCAACCTAAATGAAATTCAACAAGTATGGAAAAAAATGGTTTGGGAAATGATTGTGTAGCAAGCCAGATAGCAGCAAAAATGAGGGTACAACTAAATGTGCATAAAAATCAAACGGTGTATCACTGGAAATGTAACCCCTCCATAACTGTGGGCTGTATTAACAGTTATGGTGACATGGTGACATGCTTATTATGTGGGGGGTGGGAGAGTAATGAGGCTCTCCTGCTGTCCTGCACTGTCAGTGCCATTAGACTGCCTTTGCTTCATTAAATAATCAAGACAAGCTGGCCAAGACCTGTCATCTACTATGTAACAGTGTTATAAACTGAACCATAAGTATTTTTCATGTGCCTGGAGCCAGAGCTGAAGCAAGTGATATATAAATATTTATGAGTATTAAACTGGACTATCCTTTCTGTAATAAATGCTTACAGTAAATACTGGCTGAACAGCAGAAGAGGTTCCTAGTGGGAAGCTGTGGATCTTCCCGCCTTAGATGTTATGAACAAACCATGCAAGTACTGCTTTCAGTTTCTGGACTACAGCTCAGGCTGGGGGATGGATTCAGTGATTTCCAGGGCCTGCTCCAAATCTGTTTCCATGCTCCCAAGCACCTGTCACTGCATGGTTTTCACCTGGGATGTAAAGACCTTTGTGCTGAGAACATGTGCTCACAGATTTGGTAGCTGGACAGGCATTTGAGCACACCCCCATCCCTCAGGCATTTACTGTCACCATGTGAACTGATGATAATCTGCAGGACACATGGCATTCCAGCTCCAGGAAGCAGGCAGCCCTCACAGTGCAGGTCTGCACCCTCATAGTCCAGGTCTGGCCTCTGCAGCATCTGAGCTCAGAAAGGAGCAGTCAGAAATCCTGGCTCCTGCCTGGCTACATGCCAGACTTTTAACCCAGGCTTTGACAACCAGAGAATGGAGATCTTTTATAAAAGGGCTGCATAGAAACAATTCTTGTTTAACTGATTTTTTTTAATATAAAAAGCTTTTATTTTATTGGGAATTAAATTAACTCCTCACATGTGTACTTTGCACTGAATCAAAAAAAACCTGAACAAAAAACAAACAACCCCAAACAAAGTTCAAAACCAGCATATAAAACATAATAGCTAGTCAGATAGGAATACCATAAGGCACACATTCAAGTAACTAGTGTAACAAGTATCCTTGGGTGTGGAGGAGAGGGAGCACTCACACAATGCTGCAGCACAGGTTCAGTTCCTTTCCCTCACATTTAAAAACATGGGCCCACTGCAGCCCCACATGCCTGTGTCTGAGTCCCAGCTTGTAAGAGTTAAATGGTTCTGCCCTTGGCCATGTTCTGTCAGTTTTATCAACAGATTATTGTGGGAGAAAACAGCTGCAGAATGAAGGTGCTGCTGTACTACCAGGACAGTTGCTCTGTGACTCTGCTTGTCAGTCGATCTGCTACTAGGCTAAAATAATGCTCATGTGCCAGTCCAAGCTCACCTGACAGATCTCCAGGTGTACAGAAGACACCATCCAATTATCAGCTTTTTACATCATGTTTTACTACCTGTGTGAGTATCTGTATTCACAAAATCTCCTCCTTATACTTACCCTGCAAGTTTTAACAAAGGTTTATTTCCTTATTAAATTCACAATTGTTTTTGAACAAATGCCTCCCCTGCAATGGAGTATTTTTTTCCTGTCATTCATGCAGTAGGAGCTTCCAAAGGCCACAGAGACCACAGAAAACTGAGCTCAGTAATTTGAAAATTTCAACAATAGTGTTGCCTATTTTAAAATAACATTTGGAGAAACATTTCTACACCAAAACTGCTGTAAACAGCATCTGCATAAATGATTTCTTCCTTTATGCTTCTTTCTCCAAGCAGACACCTGCGGCACACAAACCTTAGTGCAGAGTGGGAAGCTCCCAACAAAAGCCACCAAGGCAAGACAGCCTCACCACTGAGGCAGAAGAGTTTCATGCTAGAGGAGCATTTCTCATGCACTGTGTACAGTGTAACAGCCTCTGTGATCCTTTGATTTATACAGAAGCTGGGCATTTTAAATTTCTTTATTCTGAATGCTGCGAGACTGTATTTTTACCTGTTTCATTACTCTTTCTGTTCTCAAGGCATTTGCTTAGGCTTTTGGTTACATGTATCTTAAACTGCTAAATTATCTACTCTATTATGGAACATACTGCAGAGTTCATTTTGGTTTTAAAAGCCCCTTAATTTTGTCTATCAGTGCTGTCAGACTACAAAATATTAAATTATAAAAAAAGGCCGATATACACAATCCAGTATCCATCAGGATATTTGGTTTTGCACCACAGGTCGAAGGAAATGTTAAAGGTCAAGGAAGTAGAAAAACAAATCCAAAAAGCTTCAAAAACAAGCCAGTTCTAGTTTGGATTTTCCTTTTTAAAAGATATAATGCTCTAATAAATGTAGTTTAAGGAAGGTCATACACATGACCAGCATCTGCAGTAGGTCACTTCCTTATTCTCCCACTCCCTCACAAAAATATATATACATATATTTATATTTATAGAAATGAAATGGTTTCAGATCCTTGTTTTGCAGACACGAGTCATACATTGAGAAGGCAGCAGGACACTAGCACTCTGTTTCTTTGCTGTCCACGCGGTTCTGGCGCTGCAGTTTGAAGGACGAGGCTTTCTCACTCCTGATGACAGGGTGCTCTGTCAAGTCCTCGAAGGATTTGGCGGCGGAGCTGCTGTTTGGGAAAGGGTCCTTCTCGAAGGCGTCCTCGTCGATGTGCGAGTCGGTGCTGGGGTCCTCCTGGATGGTGTCCATGCGCTGGTGCTCCTGCTTGGGCGGCGCGGGCGCGGCGGGCGCGGGCGCCAGCGGCTGCAGGGGCTGGTGCCGGCTGGCGGCCGGCGCCGCGGGGAACGGCTTGATGATGCGCACGGAGGCCGAGTCCAGGCTGCTGAGCATCTCCACGTTCTGCAAGACACAAGAGGCCACGTCACCGGCAAAGCAACCGGCAGCTGGTCCAGGGTTGGGTTTCTGCAGCGTTTTTCAAAGGGAGGAGGCACGTTCAGAGGAGCAGCTGCACTCCTGTTAGAACAGCCTAAAGGCTGCCGTATCATCCATGGCAGTCCCTAAGGGCAGAAATGCTTTTCTGTCTCTTCTTCCTCCTCCTCTGTGAAAGCACCACAGGTGACAGCCTTACTGGGAAGAGCTGATGAGTCGGCCCTTCCTTCCTGGGGCCCAAACTGCTTTGGCAAAGCCTAGGACTGGAAATGCAGGGTCAAGCCACACGGCACAGAGCTCAGTGTAGGGAAACAGTCCAAGGTACAGCTTATTCCAGTCCTCCCAACTTGGAGAGTTTATGGTTTCATGTACAAGAACTGCACTGAACATAGGGTCAAACACTGCAAGGATCAGTGTCATCATAACTCAACCCAGATTAAGTTCAAGTCCATTGATGTCTGCAACTATTTCAGCATGGTTTGGAAAATATCCAGATAGCTCTAAGCATAAACATTCCCCAAGGACCTCAGCAAATGCTAATACTGGGAAGAAGGAGACATTTACCTGCTATCACTTCCCAACTCTCCATCCTCAGCAGATTCAAAAGACACAAAATCTGTTTGTTAAACTGTTGCTGGTGCAAGGAGGCCATTGGCTATACTGTGCTCTCTCTCCTGCCTCTGGGATTTTCTCAACTGAATGCAGGTAAGAAGCACCAAGATAACTTTTCTCATGTCACAGCTATGGGGCACTCAAACTTAAGATCACCCTCAGTTCTGTCACAGTAGATGACAGAGGCACTCTGCCTCAGTAGTCTCTGACTTCAGTATGCTTCTTCCAATGGTTGCATAAGGAAGAGCTCCACAAGGCTTTTTTTCCCCTCCCCTAACAGAACAACTTTTCCTTAACTGAATATTCTAGTTTATAATAGGAACTGGATTGTCAAAGCACAGGAAAGGATACCTAAACCTCTATGTCACAAGATGCCCCACACTGCACTGTAATTAAAATTTATCTTGGCACTTTTTTGCTCTTCCTCTCTCCCATCTCATTATCTGCAAGCTGAGAAGTGCTGCTGATGTGACCTTTGAGCAACTGGAAGGCTGTAGCACATGATGCTAGAAGCCACCTCCTGCAAACAGCCATTCTGCAGCAAAGACACTGCATTTTGCAGAGGTTTTTGAGCCTCATGCTTCAGTGACTCCACTTGGCTGGGAACTAGCAGCCTGTGGCTGGTGCTGCCCAAGGGGATGCTGGACACAGGTGAAGCCATGCTCTGCAGAGCAGAGTGGCTTCCTGCCCCTCTCTGCTGCACCACAGGGCTCTGCCAACAAGGCTCAGCTCTTACAGGAAGGAAGGATCAGACCTTGCCATGCTGCAGTGCTTGCTAAGAGTGAACAGAGGCTTGTTCAGAAACCAGCTTCCCCTCTCATGGATTCACCCCCTGCAGCATGGGGCTCTGGGGCTCTCTCTTACTACTCTTTTGGAAAATATTCTGCAGACACCCGAGGTTCAGGTTTTCCTTTACACATGGGACAGCATTCTGCCAATTCAGACATAGACAGCAACTTACACTGGGGCAAAACAGGGACTTTGTGTTCTCCTCATACTGCTTGTCCAATTTCTTGTCCTATTGAAAAACACACAACAAAATAAGAAAGTTAATTTCCCTATGGCAAAGACTCCTTTTTCCTGCAAGGACTCAGCATAGGGTCCCCTGCTTCCCATGCCTTCCCATTCATGCCAGGAGTGCTTGTGGGCACAGCACCCCTTTGCTCTACCCCACACTGATGTTGGCAGCACACCACATGTCCACACTCCCTGTGCCCATGGCTCACTGACTCTCTTTACCCATCCACCCAAGATCAACTAAGATCACTTCCCACTCTGGGTCTTCTCTCAAAATGTGGGTGTCTTTTCTTCACGGGGCTTTAGAAGACTTTGTTTTTAATGATAAAAATACTAAAATTATACTTGGGTGGAACTCAGAAGGCAGAGAAAGAAAATCTGCCTGGGAAAGAATGGGAAAGGCTCCAGGGAATAGTCATGGGAGCACTGGGTCTGCCAGGCCTGGCAGAGTTTAGCAAGAGTTTTGCCTACTGAAGGAGCAGTAAAAGCCTTACATATGCTGGATTTCCCCCCAGGGTTTGCTAAAAACTTCCCATCACTTCTCCCACAGCCATCTGCCACTTCACATATGAAGGGTGTTCTCACAGCAAAATCCAACAGATTGTGTCATCTCAAAGACAGCTTACTCACCACACAGTGCACAAGGATGCTGAGAGGAATCCAGAACAGTAAGGAGAAGACAAGCACAGAGCCCACTATATTATCTGCTAGGAACTTCCCTGTGGAACCAAGTTCAAATCTGTCAGTTACCCACCAAATACTGTTTGAACACACACTTCTATCCCCCCTTCTGCAGCCACTGCTCAGGCAACTGAAGCCTCAGAATTGCTTAGAGAAGCACAGGCTGCCTACTTTGAGGTAGGCAAAGGAAAAATTACACAATTTAAAAAAATTGTATCCAGTATGTTAACAGTAACAGGTTTTACTCTGTTCTGTGAAGAGAAATGCTGTGAGGCTGTAATGTTGGATATGGGTTGCTTTGGAACAGCCTATACTGAGCCAGCCATGCTGCCCCTCTCACTTACACAAGACACACTGCGAGTCCCTCACCACGTTCTGATGTAACAGCCACCTGATCTCTACCTGCCTCCACCAACAAAATATCTGGATGCCAAAGATTCAAAAACTGCCTCTATCCAAGCAGGCTAAATAGCTTTATCAGTAACCTAAGCAACAATTTTTTGTCCCTAAAACTTGGGATTGAAAGCTGCAGCTGAGGTAATTGCACTGTGCAGGCACAGTGGTGCCATGAGCACACACAGCTGGGGCTCGGGACACAGCACCAGCTTAACCAGGGGTTTTGTCTGGTACCAGTAACAGAGTGAGACACTGGGGGTGACACCTGGGCTGAGGTGACACCTGCTTGGGCTGCACAGTTGGGATGAAGACCAAGGAGGCCCACTCAGTCACAGGGAGTGACTCAGCAGAGGCACAGCTTGAGGTGTGTGACCTCTGGTTTTCTTAAACGTGTTCCACTCCCTTTCTGTTGACATTTAAAACCCACTGAGAGGCCCATTTCATACCCTGCTGAATCTAGCTGACCTCTAAAGAGACTGATTATTATTTGCTTTTCTCTAATTGACCTAGTTCCTGGTATTCAGACAAGAAGCTATCATCCCTTTCACAAGCTTGGAAGATGCCTACAAAAAAATGGAGTACAAAAATGCAAAACAGCCTCCCATCCTTTCAGCTTTAAAAGGTGAGATCAGTAGTCTCAAACTTCAGGCAGAAATATACTTTGATATATCACAAGCACAGCTACCGTTGCACATGGTGAATAAATCCAGCCAGCTAACTCCCCCTGAGGCTTTAGAGGTTCATGTCATGAACTCAAAAATCCCCAAAGGATATGGTTATTTATCTTACCAAAAGTATTGATGCTGAGTTGGTCTATGAAATCCCAAAACCGTTCAATCACATCCTGGACTTGCTTCTCGCATTTGCCCTACAAAAGTAACAAAATAATTTTCTACCACCCAAGTATTAAGCACTGCCTTCTTGGAGAGGGAGGTGCAATGATAGTAATGAAATGAGAACTA